GTCTCGTTAATTATCTTATTAAAAGCTTCTTAAATTCTTCTCTATTTAGCGATCCTAGACTAGTTTTCTCTAAGATTATAGATATTAATTATCGAGAGTTTTCTTTTCTCTATCTTAGTATCGAGTAGTATTATATTCGGCTTAAATTATATACGTCTCTAGTATAAAACGAGTATATTTCGTCTTATTATAAAGTATACTTATATTATCTAGATAATCTCGTATACTAGCTAGTAGAGCTTAAAGTAGTAGATTAACTTCGTAAAATAATTAAAGACTAGTTCTTAAATCGCGAGTATTATAGACTACGTAAAGCTATCGAAAAGCGCCTAAAATATATAGTCGTTTAAGTTATTATAGTTATATTAGATAATCTCGAACTTATTTATCGAAAGTATTTATAGTATTTATCTTCTATATATTTAGCTCTAGCGACGGCTAACGATCTCTTTACGATCTATCTATAAAGAAGAGGCGTCTCTATTAGAAGCTATATATCGCTATCTCTATATAAGTTAGTTATTCTACTCTCTTCTATATAATCGCTCTAGAGAAGATCTTCCTCTATTTTTTATTCCCTACTATAGTCTATCTCTCTATAGTCTAGCTATTCCGAAATATAGCTTAGATATTTACCGTCTATATAAGAGCTATAACTTATCTTTACTAAACGTAGTCGTAATATCTCTAGTATATATTATAGGCGTATAGATACTATACCTTATATACCTTATTATAGTTAGCGTATAAAACTTTCTTCTTAGTATACTTCTTCGATTTATAGACTCTAGCGTATTTATCGTATCTTATAAACTTTACGTATACTTTCTAGATATAACTCTATTACTAGTAGTTAAAGTACTAAATCTCTTAAAGCGCTCTCTCGAAGAGGCGAACCTTATAAAGATACGTCTCTATTATAATATCGCCTTAGATTACGCTTCGATATATCGCCTAGCTCTATAGTTCGACGAGAAGAGATCCGTAAATCTTCTTCTTAACGCGTATATACTCTATCTATTTAGCCGGATAGAGCTACTTAATTCTAGAGATCTAGAGTTCCGGCGCGACCGATCTCGAGTCGTTCGCGACTATAGTCGCGAGATCTACGTTATTCGTCTACTTTTCGGCTACGACTCGGGTACTTAGTAGAATATCTAAAATCTCTACTAGATAGTTCTATTTATAGATTTATATTATCTTTATTAGAGATATCGCCTAGGCGCGATTTTTTATCGCCTTTATTAGAAGAGTTATATCTACGTCGTCGCTTTTTAGTACGCGAACTATAACCGCTATTAGAATCGTCTTTTTAATCTCTTTAAGAATCTTCTCGTTTATTATCTTCTTTATATTAGATATAGCTATTCTTACTATATATCGCTCTAGACGTACGAGTAGTATAAGAGTCGTATACTATACGACTACGCCGCGCGTAGCGACGCCTATCTATAACGGTTTAGCCGTATCTCGCGGCGGCTACGCGATCTTCTCGATCGTCTTTTTAATCGAAGCGAGTCGTACCTCGATCCCCTTCGATAGTAGTACGTCGCGAGTACTAGACGCGTTCTAGACGCGCTTTACGCGTTCGACTATCTTATCGAGTATCTAAAGCTATCTCGTTTCGGTACTCTCTTTCTCGAGATCTCTTATAATTATACGAAGATCGTTCGCTAGGCCGTATAGATCTTCTTCTATCTCGTTCCCCTTCTTAACTTCTCGCTCTTTTTCCGCCTACGCGGCGCGTATTATTCTAGTGTTTCTCGGGGCGTACTAGGACGCCTCGAGGTTCTCCTAGCCTCGCTAGCTAGCGCCGCTCGCCGCGGCCTAGTCTAATGATTATCGTATGCTCCTTATATGCGTCTGCTTAGTATCTCGTGCTCGTATGGGTGTCTCTTCGCGCGTGCTCGAGCTTTCCAAGATTCTTACGAAGATAATTTAGCTAATTTAGAGTAAGAATATATAGTGTTCGAGGTATATTATATAAGTATAGAGTGTCTCCTATTAGTATTAGATCGAATACTTATTACTAGAATAGAAAGATTAGGAGAGAGGAGACTATATATATATATATA